ATCCCTGTGAAGAGCCAGAAAAGCGCTTGTTATATGGTACAAAAAGTTTTGTGTCGAAGAATTTGTTGTCCAGTGTATTGTATATGCTCCTCCATGTTTGTTCTTCGCTGGGAATTAGAAGCATTGGAATATGATGATATTGCAATGTTTTACTCCGTTTAATTTGACTATCCTTCAATATGGAATGCCATTGAAGACAAACAGCACCAAATTGCAAATAATCTAATGATAACTCCAATTTCTCTTAAACTAAGTCCAATAAATGCTTTGGCAACCTTGCCCAATCTACAGAAATAAATGAAGTGGATTAGCATTAAAGGTTTAAAAAAAATCACAAATTTAAATATGAATTTGATTGTACTATGTCTAAATGCTATTATAAATTTTGAAATTTAATAAATGCATTCACTTAAGCTTGAAAACCCTTAAAAATTAGAATTTGTAATTTGCTGAAAATCATGTATGCATAGGTACCTCTGTCAAGTTTCAAATATCCCTCGTCAATTTTTGGGATATAGATAAGTAGAATATGATGATGATCACTCGGGGTTTTTAATAACGTTATATAAGATAATATTAACGAAGAATTAATATTTAGCAAAAGAAGAACACATAATGAACAGACATTTATTTATATCTTTATTATTAATTAACAACAATATTCATACATGAGCTATACAATAAACCAGTCGTCAACAACTAATTAATTAAAAAAAATCTTTATTTCCAAAAGATCAAGATTTTACAGGATACCACGGAAAGAAGTAGACGAATTTTATATTGAACGAAAGAGCCGTCAGCGATTAATTCATTAACTTGGTCACACAAAAAGAGAAGAAAAGAATATCAATCATACTGGGATAATAATCGCTCTTATAAAATACAAAAGAAGAGTTATAAACATACCGGGATCCATATGTGGAGAATTGAAAATTTGGAACCTTCGATGTAAATTAATCTGATTTGATGTCCAACCGCATGAAGAGTGAAAATACCTATATATGGGGACATATACCGATATGCTACGCTCTTTTTATAAACAAAGGAGTCTGGTTTCTCAATTCAGTTAGAGGTATAATAGGAAACGCATTTTGCTATTTAACTAATTATGAAGTAATATTTTATAAATTATCCATTATTATCCTATAAGTGGATAAAATCTCATTCCATCCGATTGCGTCAGTTAGTATAGAGCCCTCAGTTCTTTCCCGGGAAGGTAAGATAGCCATGGATGGCGATTGGAGCCACCCAAGTCGCGGTGTTCGAAGGTGGAGTGGCCACCAACGACCGTTTTCTCCACCGCCTATCCACACATACTACCATTCCCCTTCTCCACAACCATCTCACTGCCATAACAACCACCGTGATCCTTACTCCGACCACCATTACCACCATCCACCAAACCACCATCACCGTGACCACTCCACCACCATTACCATATCACCACCGTGACCTCCACCACCACTACCACCATCATCCGAGATACAATACACAGCCACTGCATATCCAAATCCAAACCCCATTACACTTCATCGTACCCAAAATCATCGAGGCCACCGACACTGCCCAAACCAACAATACAACCAGCCCTTGAGTAGCACCGTCGGCGATCGTCGACATTGATAAATAAACATAAAACAGATAAAAATGAATGAGAAATTGCAATAATTTTAAAAAGAAAATATAACATTAACAGTTGAAATGTATTATATGATTTTATAAATCATATCAAGATTAAGATTAGGAGGAGTATGAGAAAGTTAAGTTACGCATTATAAAAATTATATCTATAAAAAGATGGATCTTTCAAATTTTTATTAAAGAGGTATTAATGATTAAGGGACATGGTAAATTTTATAGGTGTAAATATAAATAAATAGAAAAAATAGTGAATTTATTCTTAAAAGTGTATGAGTCTAAACATTTATATCTTATTTTTAATAAATATCATTTTATTAGTATAATTATTTAAATAAAAATATTATAAATAAAATATAAAAAGTAAAAATTTTGATTCGTAATTATTATCCAAGCATCTAAAAGCCCATTCCACAATCGTTAGCCCAAAAATGATCCCATTCCACAAAATGGACCCCACGTTCCCCACGAAAGTTATTTGGGTCACGCTTATTATATGAATGGTAGAGCAGAAGCCCGCTTGCGCTGTATGGCGGCGACGTGGGCGTCTCATTGGCCGCCGGGTCCCCAGAATTTAACAGAACACGTGTCGGTCATGCCATGGCTGATTTAATTTGTACAATTGGGTGGCTTGGAATAAATATTATATTATGAATCTAAATGTAGCTACATATAAGGCCACGTCAACAGATACTATTATGTGGGGCCCAACAACGTACTGTTAGTGTTTTAGGCAAAGGAAGCACATCCATCTTCTGCGTTGCCACATGCCCACCATTCCTTTTTGAACGTTGAAAGTAACAGGACAAAACCAACTTCTTCTTCTTCTTTTTTTTTTTTTTTTTTTTTTTTTTTTTTTAAAAAAATATGGACCACTCACTTCTTTTTATTAAAATAACCTTCTTGCAATATGATTGACGTTTCCATCCTCGGCATATTTTTCTTGTAGAGAAAAATAACTTTTCTTCCACTTTTGTGCGACATATAATTTGATATTTTATGTCATTTTTTAGAACCCGTTTAATTCATTAATTTAAATTTTTAATTTGAATTAGATATAAATTTATGTAAAAATTTTTTATTATAGTAAAAAAATTAAATGTGATTAGTTTTTAGAGTTTTTTATTATAATAAAATTTAAATCAGTAAAATGAACAATACCTTAATTATTAATTGTCGATGTGTGTTCGGTTTTATTTTGTAATAACACAAGTTGTTTGTTCACTTTTCAATTTTAGCTGTGTTTCTCACTTGATTAGATTGTTTATTAATAGTGTAAATTTTTTTGGTCTTGTTAGAATCTTATTTATGACGCGTTGTTGATGTTCTCTCTATGTAGGGTTGATGATCCGTCTCTCTAGAACTCAAGATGGTTATCTTGATGTAAGAAGTTTTTTCAAATCAAATTTTAAGCGTACTCATTCTTAATATGTTGAGATTTTCTCATATTTTTAAACTTCAGGCGTAGGCGTATGTATATCCCTAATTTTATATTTTGTGTTTTGTTTCTTTTTTAAGTTTTATTTTTTTATTTAAGAGCTCTTTTCACGATGGAATTTGATATAACATTAGTCATACTTAAAAATAAAAATAAAAAACCGTCAGGATTATGAAAATTGTAAAATAAAATTGCAAGTAGGAGGCCAAAAAAAAAAAAAAAAAAAAAAAGAGAGAGAACGGTGGGGAATAGAAAGAAGAAATAATGGGGCATCCACAAAAAGAAAATAAAAAATAAAAAAATAACCAGTGGAGAATTTGGTCGCGACCCACAAGTCACGCGGTGCCGGAAATCGCTGCGCCATTCGAATGAGACAAAACTATTCCACGTGTCAACGTCAATCTTCCGGTACGTAGTTGTGGCTGTGGGATCATTTCTTTCCGTGTTGGTAGAGCCAGATATTTTTATTTCTGTTTTTACTTTTTTTTTATTGAAAACGTCAGAGCCAGATATTTTGTAAGATCAACCACACATATATTATTTTAATATTACGTCTTTGTTCCACTAATCTACAGATATTTGTTCCATCAGATTTTTCTAGTTGTTTGTCCTTACTCACGATTCCTTTTGATGAATAAAATAAAAAGATTAAGCCTTTTTTTTTTTTGTAAGAAACAAATATATGCCTTGTTTTTAGAATTTTTTTGTGCTTCATTTTTTTTTAAAATATCAATATTCTCTATATATTAGTTATTTAATATGTAATATTTTAATCTGATTTAATTTTTAATTTTATTTAATATAAATTCGACAGTTAATAAACATAAAATACTTATATTTATAAAACAGAAAAAACACCAAAAAATATTCCCTTATTTTTTTGACTGAATAATAATATGTGCCTCTTGAACTTAAATTAAAAGAAAAAAAAAAAGAAGCTTCTATACCCTAATGCTACGTTTGATAGGATGGATAGAAAAGATGAAGGAAATAGAAGTAAAATATTAAGGTGAAAGAAATAAAATAATTTTCTCACATATTATTTGGTAGAAGAGAAAGAAAAGTAAAAAAAAAAGGTTAAATTTAAGACATTTTACAATAATATCTTAATATAAATAAAAAAATAATAAATGATGAAAGTTAAAATTGTTATTTTACATATCATTTTTTTTGTTACACTTTTTTCCTCCTCTTTTCTTCTCAAGGTTAGAAGGATTAAAAATTGATGGGCTGCATAGATTTTTATTTTATTTCCTTTCTCATTTCTTCTCTATCAAACAACCTAAAATTTTATTTTGCTCTACAAAATTCTTCTTTTATTTTTCTTCCTCTCTATTTTTCACCCTATCAAACACACTGTAAAAGTTTCTTCGGTATTTCACCCCCCAGACGCGATGATTGACTAGTTTTTTTTTCTTTTTCTTTTTTTTGGGTGGAAACGTAATGATCAACTATCAACTGATCAAATAATTTTACGTATTCAAAATTAATTGTTCAGTCAACTTAATTTACTAATCAATGAAGGTATAAGTCTTCATCTTGTAATAAACTCTTAAATTATCGGGTCGAGTTGGATGACGACAACTTTTAATTCACCTTAATTAATTTTATGTATTGGCACCAAATAAAGAAAAACTTGGATTAACTTCAAAATTTACTGTATTCCCACTAATATTTAAAAATACAATATCCACTTGGTGTATAAAACATACAATTTGGGACTAATCCCCTCACTTCCTATATTGACAGGCAACCCCATTGCACGCTCATATATATATATATATATATACATGTCTCGTCCATTTTATTGGTTCGAGTTGAGGCCGTCTTTAAATGAAAAGTAAATTTATTTGAAAAAAAACATTACAGTCAAAATTTGAATTATAATTCAAACCAACAAAATAAACGAGACTGTAGTGTGTGTATATGTATAAATTTATATATGCTTTTTTAGACTTGAACTTCTCTTTTTTAAACTTGAGGGTTGGGGGGAGGAAGCAGCCATTTGGAACCCTGAATAAAGCCAAGGGTGAGATAGGGCTTCGCTTGTGCATCGTTTAGCGTCTTGACGAAATCCACTCTGCCATCGTCATTCGCACTTGCCCCAGTGTTTTGGTACTCTCCGAAAAAAACGGTGCTGCGCAAGTATATGCATGAATTGTGTGACTAATTAGTAATTAAAACAAAAACATATAGATCTATATATTTCAAATATGTGCAAAAAAATTTAAAAAAAAAAATGATGAGCAAACTTCAAATTAACAATAATTACTAGCTAGCTAGCGTCTGCTCATATATTATGAAAAATACTAACGTTGAGTCCGTTAGTATCAATATACATTTTATGGATTTTTTTTTTTAATATCATTATCTTTTTGATTCATTTAAAAAAATGACAAATACGTGATTGTGAGACAATTTACGCAATATATATGAACTTAAGAAGAACTTACTTGTCACGTTCAGGGTGCATATTGTCAGACCATCCCTGAGGGCTAATGACACCACCAAGGTTGGTGTAGGCGAAAATAACTTTGGCATTAGGCATCCAAGCCCTGCCCAAGACGGCATCTTTGGCATTGCCCGTTATGGTACAATGCACAAACGAGAATCCGGTGCCGTCGGCGGATTGCCTCGCCTGCGCCGTGATCACCGACTCCATCGTGGGATCACTAATGACGTGCAATTCTGTGTTGAGATAGAGAGAAGTCCCACTTCCGAAGATGAAATCCACAGTTCCCTCAATGTAGCAATCCTTGAAGAGATGGAATCCTCTGTCATCACAAAGTGTGTCTTGGAACCCTAACAATTTGCACTTATAAAATGTCGCCTTGTTTCCGGATGCCCTCAATGCCACTGCTTGCGCCCCCTTTCTTATCCCATCCGGCCTTGGGGCAGAATTCTAAGTGCATTTGTATATTGCATGTCAATACAAAATTTTGTTAAAAGAAAAATGCTTACAAATAAAATAATATATGATGAAATAAAATAGATAAAATGTGCATGTATATATTATGACATAAGTTACGATGTTACCTTATCATAAAAAATCTTTGGGGTCGATTTGGTTTATTAGGGTTACGTTCGTTTGTTAAAAATTATTGTCGTGTTCAGAATTGATCTCGTTTTTATTTTTCACGTTTTTTGAGAAAGAAAAAGTAAAAATATTTTTAAAACGGCTTTTAACGCAATAAAGGTAAAATTGGTCAATTTTTTAGTTTAGTGTAAAATGAGAGAGAAATGAAAAATAACTTTTCGTCATTTTTCATTTTTTATTTTCGTTTTCTCCTCTCTCGAGCAAAGAGAGAGAGACATTAATGGGTTTTTTAATTACTAAAAATAATCTCTTGATAAAACTATCAAACGCATTTTCAAAAATGATTTATATCTTAAATTAAAAACGTTTTCATTTTCATTTTTATACAAAAAAATAAAATTATTTTAAAACGAGTTCCAAACGCGTCCTATATATTTCATACATGCGTGTATAGATGATTAAATACCTTGATTATAAGATTTACTCCCACAAAGTAGTCCGAACCGACGATCAAGGTGGCGCTATCAACCGTGCCGTATTGTGCGGCAGTGCCGGCGTAGGAAATTGTTGGCATGTTGGTTGGCGAGCCATAGAGAGTGATAAATGGCTTGCTTCGGTCAATTGTTACTTTCTCATGGTACTCACCTCCTCCAACATAGATGATCACCCGCTTAGAGTTGCCTGAGGGAACGCTATTGATGGCTTCTTGAACCGTCTTGAAATCGCCGCTCCCGTCTTTCGCCACCTTTACGACTTTTGCGGGGCCAGTCTCCGCCGCCACCAAAGCAGGGTCCAACCCCTTGCTCGCGGAGAGAGGTCGAACGTTGCCGTTGAACCAGCTGTTTAGCTGCCCTTTCTGGTAAGGTATTTGCACGTTGTCGTCTGCATTGACGATATTGTTTGTGGCGATGAGGGCGACGACAAGGAGAACAAGTGCGCATGTTAATTTTTGAGCCATCATATATTTTTAATTTGTTTTTGTCAAAATATCCTAATATTTCTACGTGGGAACTAATTGCTTTTGAACGTTAATCTATTGAAGAAATTAGTTATGGGTACGTAAGTTCTGCATGTACGTATTTATACACCATTGACTTACCAAAAATATTATTATAAAAAACTTGCTAAATACATGGAAAACCTTAGAGAGATTCTCGCGCATTTTGGGGTGTCTCTTAATTGTACATTGAATTCCAGCAAGATGAGCTCTTTTTTTTTTTTTTTTTTTTTTTTTTTTTTTTTTTTTATAACCAACCACTTGTATGTACCTAATTAATAACTAATTTTGTAAGGACAGCATGAATAATTTCTCCTTTTACCGCTTGTCTTTCTATTTGTCACAACAAATCAAATTAACCAAAACCAAAACCGATCCCCTTATTTGTCATTTATAATTACAAAGAATTGTTTTTATTTCTATTCATCATTGGAAACATTATTATGATGTTTTTGAATGCTGAATGGGAGGTGGTCTTTGAAGCAGATCCACCATATTTACCTCTTTTTTTTTTTTTTTTTTTTTTTTTGCTAAATTCGTTTATCCTTTCTTAGAAATTATTCGCACGCTCCTAATTTATTTTATAACTTAAATTTCCAACCATTTTTTAGTAAAAAAAAGTTCTGACGTGTTTTAAAGTATTTGTTCCTCAATTCTAACCTTTTTCCTTAGTTTTATTTTCTTGTAGTTTTAGTACATAAAGTTGACGGAAATATTACATGAGAAAACGAAAGAATCTATCACGGCAAGAGTTTATATTGCGCCAAAAAAAAAAAAAAAAAGGAATAACGAAACTCATATTTCTAAGCCAAATTTTTCTTGTGTATTTTGACAAAAGAAACAACCGTCTAAATAAATAAAAAAATGTTTCTGTTTGAGCCAAAAATAAAATAAAATAAAAAGTGTACAACTTTCAACATTTTTTTCCCCTTTAGTTCCATCGAATTAGTTTCTGACGTGAATCTTTCTTTTTCCACAACTATGGACTTTATTTTTTGAGTTCAATGTAAGTATTATTCTAACACAACTAGTTAAGAGCAAAGTAAATGAGAATAAAAAAATTCGTAAGATAGTATTATAGCTTTCTATTCTTAAATTAAAATTTAAAAGGCTTCATCTAATGGCATGGTTGTAATAATTGATAAAAGGATAGTTTAGAATTATTCTTTTTTTTTTTGGAAAAATGAAAAAAGAAATGGCAAACAAAATTAAGGAGAAGTTGGTGCGTTTGGAGTAAGGATCCGTGTCATGATTCGAATCATGGTTCGTGTATCGCTATAGTATTTTCTCTAAAAAAATACACGTAAACCGAACTGAATTTATGAACTAAATTAACGTCATAATTTTTTAAGGAGGATTTTCTCCTAAAGAAAAAGATTTTACCATATGCTATGCACGTACTAATGGTAAAGATGCATATAAAAATTTCCAAGCAATGAAACTTCCCCTGAATCGTTATAGGTTAAATGGGGGGTTAAAATCCGTTTGGTACCTAGATTCGTTCTCCGATTCGAATCATGGTTCGTAATTTGTTACAGTATTTTTTCTCACAAAAAATACACGTAAATAAAAAATAATTTTAATCACATAATTTAAATTCATGAACTAAACGTCACAAAAATCATCCTATCGATCAGTACTATTCTTAATTATTAAAAAAAACCTAATTTGACCATTATTTTACTTTTACACAATTAAACACTAATAAAAGCAACTTAATTTTGACCACTTGTGTGTTTCTGTGTGCATAGTTTACATAATTTTGACCATAAATAAACAAATAAAAGCAACTTAAATTGTCGTGTACATAACTTAACCAGATGGCAAATATCAACGACCAGATGTCCAGATCTAAATTAAAATTTAAAAAAAACAAAAACAAAACAAAAAAAGATAAATTTTGCCAAGTAGTTTCGAGGGAAACGAGGTTTTGTGGTGACGGTAGCACGAAGAGACAGAGGTGGGGCCCACATAAACAGAGTACGTTGAATTGCAATTACAAATTCAATTCAACAATTCCTTTAAAAAAATTAAAATTGAAAATTGAAAAGGAGAATAGTAAAAAAATAAATATTCTTTTTTTTTTCCCCCTCTCTTAATATCATCCACAAGCAAGATCTCCCCAAATTCCAAAACAAACTTATAATCAGTACAAGTTCAATATGACTACTCCTCAGTCATAACATATCACCGCCTTTCTCTCCTCTCCAAGTCCAAACTGCTCTCCTCTTTTTCTGTCTCCAAACCCTCTCAAATCACCACATCTTGCTTCGCTTCTTATTCTCTTCTTATTTATACATAAATAATATCTTTTCTACTTTATCATCAAAATCCCTTATTTTAATGGCTTTCTTCTGATCTCTCTCCTTCTCTGCAAAAACCAAGAAGCATTCCACGCTCAACAAAATCTCTCTTCTTTTCCTCTCACAGAAGAAGAAATGAAAGGAATGATTTGCGAGCTCTGTAGTAAGGAGGCCTCGGTCTACTGCGACTCGGACCACGCCTTCCTATGCTGGACCTGCGACGCCGACGTTCACCAGGCGAACTTCCTCGTCGCTCGCCACGTCCGGGAACCTCTCTGCTCCAATTGCAAGGGATTCACCGGAGGCTTCATCTCCGGTGAAGGTCTCCGGCGTAATCCACGGTTCCCGATCTGCCGGAGTTGCTCGCCGGATGAGTCTTCCGGCGAGGATCAGGCGGATTCGCTGTCGTCCTCGTCCTCTGTTTCCTCTGCTTGCGTCTCGAGCAACGGATTGAAGACGCTTCAGTTCGTAGATCAGCCGAAGATCGCGAGGATCGGCCCGTCGATCTCCGTCACGGAGCTCTCCAGCGAGGAATCGAGTCTGCCAGCGATATTCTCCGGCGAAGTTATGTCGAAGAAGACGAGCCAGAGTCTGAAGAAGAAGAAGAACAACAAGATGATCAAGAAAGTGAATGAGCAGATCAGACCTCGGGGTCCGATGAGCGTGGACGCGAAGGCGGAGGGCATTTTCGGGAACTGGTGCAGGGAGCTGGGCCTAAACGGTAATTCCGCAGTCGTGTCGTTGGCCTCCCACGCGCTGAGCCTCTGCGTGGGGAGGTCCAGCGTTTTGCCCTTCAGAGTGTCTCTAGCGGCGTCGTTCTGGTGGGGCTTGAGATCCTGCGTGGACAAGTCGGCGCGTGCGTTACACTGCCTTAAACGGCTCGAGGACGTTTCTAGAGTGCCAGCTAGGCTGATCCTGACCGTCGGATTTAAGCTCGATCGAGAATTGAGTGCCCGAAAATCTCGTCGCCATGATCTGGCGGAAGGCTGGGCGGAGTGCTCCGGCAAAACAGCGTCGTAGAGCTAATCCCACACGTGTGTATAATCCATTTCAGTTTGATTAGGCTTTTTTAATTGGGGATTTTTTTTTTTTTTTTTTGGGATTTGCAATTCTGCGTTGTCGTGTTGCCTTTCGGTGGTTCGCATTATTGCAAAGAGTGCTACTACTAATATTTGAATTGAATGAATCCTGACCATTATATTGATAGTTGTTTATAAATTTAAAATTATAGTTTATAATTTTAATTTTTAAAATTTAAATTTTTTATAAGAAAAAAATATTATAATAGAATTAAGAATTATAATTATAAACAAAATTTTATAACTTTAATCTCGAATTTTTGATGGATTTAAAAAGTTGTTCGTGTTTGTGCATTTTTTTTTATCTGTAAAGTATCTGCAGTCAGAAATGAATACCAGAAAGCCAATATTCCTGCCGCGTACGGACTTTGGATTTTGACAAAATTAAACTCATTTTCAGCCGTGAAGCAATGTATTGTTTAGATGAGTAATTTTAATTTTAATTTTAAATTTTATGAGATAATTTATTAGTGAAAATTGAAAAAAAAATAACGTTATAAAATTAAAATTATAAATTTAAATGCATAAAATAAATCACATCAAATCTTAAATTAGTATTTTAGTCTATTTAACAGTTAAGAATCTTAACCAATTCTTTTTTTAATAATTGTTCACGTTTAAATTTCAAAACTAACTGTCACTAAAAAGCATATGTAATTTTTCTTAAAAAAAAAAACAGCGTATGTAATTCACGTACTTTATAACGGTTGGATGGATAAAATAATTAATTTGGTACAATTAATCTAGATTGGAAGTTGTGGACGTTTTAAAAGTCGACACGAAAATAAAGATTTAGCCAATGATTTGAGAACTAAATTAAAATATATTAACCCTTTTTATAATTAAAAAAAACTGCATCCATTACTTTTTCTGCCATCTATGCTGAATAAAAGCCTGTATGTACTGCAACTGTGCGTACTATAAAACAAAAGTAGTTTAGTATAGTAATTCATTCATAATACAAATAAAAAAATTATAGTATTGCACACTAGTGATAATTATCACCAATATTTTAATTCAATTGGAAGTTATAATATATGTACGTAGAAGTTGTAATTCTCACGTGATTATCAATCTCAAGTTTGAGATCTAAATATATGGATGATGTATTACTAATTTTTTTTTCCCTTCTATACGAGTATCTCTATATTTTAAGACCTCTTTAAATTATTAAACACGTACCAATTTTTTTTCCACTTTATAGCTGCAACAAGTAAAAAGACAACATATTTGTTTTTAAGACAAAAAAAAAACTAATTGCAGTTGAACAGAAAGTCATAGACAAAGGGAAGATTGGGAATTAGTATATTTCATTGTTATAGTGTCAGTTAACTCTAGCTAGACATCACCTTCCTTATGTTGGCAACTTTTAAAAATCCCACATAAAGCATATCACTGGTTTTTCCTCTCTCTCTCTCTCTCTCTCTATATATATATATATATATATATATGTGAATTCTGTGTGTGTGATGTTATAATGTGGTATTGTCCTTTGTAAATTGTAATCTAAACAATTTTTGGGTTGGCTGGCATAGTAATTTTATTTTTATATAATACATGAAAGATAATTATCATATTTATTTTTTCAACATTTTTTTTTTCACGTACCTTATAGTCTTCAGTATAGTTAAAAAGTATATTTTCTTGTTATTTTTGTACAATTCCACGCACTGACAAAGTTTTGTAACTAATTTATCTAGCTAGTTTTGACTCGTCAATTTTTTATCGTTAGAAATCGATAATTATATCTTCCACATGGATTAATATTCTTTTCAAAAGAGAGATATCCAAGGAATTAAGTAAATTTCAGTGCATGGCGAGGAGAGAATAAGGAACTGATTCTGTTGCTTTGGCAGTCCATGATTGGTGGACAAATGATTGTATAAAGGAGTAATGTTAGGAAGAAACTAAACCAACTTGTTTATCTTGCTTGATGTGTTGAGTTTATAGCCACATAAAAAAGCAGTAATATCACCCTCTCTCTCTCTATATATATATATATATATATATATATATATATATATCGTTAATAGCTTCGTATCCGTGAAACGTGATCAGTTACAAACCTCAATTTTGATAAAAGATACATTTTGTTTTGTTTTTTTGTTTTTGTTTTTTTCATGTATGATGCCTATTATCAATTTTGGAGAGGCATATGGAGCAACAATTATATTTTTTTGGTTGGGTTATATATATATATATATATATATGATTTTTCAATGCGTCACGTCTTATACTCTAAAGCTTAAAAGTTGGTCTAATAACATAGTTCTGGTTTTGATGTTGCCCACACAAAGCATGTGCTATAATTATCCATGTGGCGGGTCCATTGTGGTTCCTTCATTCACGTCTTAAAAACCATGCATTTAAAAGGAGGTTACGTATAAAAATCTCCGGTGTAAAAGAATATTTCTAATTCTATGGTTAATATGCAATGTTCCAACATTATATTATATGCAAAAAAAAAAAGAGAAAAAAAAAAGAAAAAAAAGAGAAACTTACGTATACCAAAAGATTGTGGTTACGTTATTGCCACGTGTCCAAGATCTCTTATTTTCAAAAGATTTGAATGGCCACTATTTTTATTTTAGTACTTGAATATTTGTTTTTTTACTAATAATAATAATAACAACAGTTCTAAGTGTGATATATATATATATATATATATTTTTTGGCCCGAGTTAATTTCATCACGAAATATCTATTTTTGAGATGTGTCCGTATAAGACACGTGACAAGCTATGAATATAGGACCCGCGTGAATTCTGATGGAGGACCCATCCAAATGAGAGGTTGACATGTGATGTATAGAAATGGCAATCCACGTAGGCTATAAATATCTAGTCTTAATCAATATATTATAATTATTAATTAATATATTATAATAATATTGTTAAGTATTAAAAATGAAAACATAATAAAAGAAAACTACTTGTAACTTTTTTTAATTTCGTCGTTAAAATAATTTTTTTCTGTTTTTTGTTTTTATATTTATTTTTAAAATATTTATTAAATAAATGTGATTTATAGATCGTTTTTATTTTTATACTTAAAAAGACATGTAAAAGTGTTTTTAAAAATAAATAAAAATCAATTCTAAACGAAACCTTAATTTTGATACCACACAGGAGTATTGAAGTTCAAGGATTCTTTTATAAGAATTCCTGATATATTAGTCACGGGAATATGATAACTTTGGGAATTTAAATGTTGGAATTGTAAATAAATGATTAGATTATGGAATTTAGAAGGTTCAATATTAATTATTAACTAAGAAGTTCAAATTTTCCTTCCGTGAGAAACCACACGTAACCTCATGAATTATGAAGCCAGAATAATGCGGAGTGGTTGCACTCAACATTAATTGATCACCAAAATTTTAAACTGAAACACGTGTATCTAATACAATGGGTACTTAGATCCCGTTCATTTCACAAATTTAAATTTAGAATTCAAATTTTGTTACAGTAAAAAAACTTTTAAAAACAATAACATCTAATTTTTTTATTATAATAAAAAATTATCACATAAAATTACATTTTAACTCGAATTAAAAATTTAATTCAACGAACTAAATGAAACCTTAGTAACTGAGTACAATACAATATATACAGGCCAGAAGCAAAATTATAAATTAAAAGGTTGGTATCAAAATACTAAAACTAAGTTAAAATTCTTCCAAAAAATCCTACATGATCTTTGTGACTGTTTCGAGTACATGAGCTAGTTTCAACTATGAATTTCCCTTTGCTTTGACGATGGTCACTAATTCTCAAGGGTTGATGTTGTACTTAACTTTTTACTTTTGGTTCACAGATTCAAAATTAAAATTTAAAATTATTCTTAATTTATGCATATTTTTTATGAGAGAAAATACTGAAACGAGTCACGAATCATAGTACAAATCCTCATACCAAACACCAAGAAGTGAACGAGATCATAGATTTAACAAAAAAAAAAAAGAGTGTGGTTTTACATAGGCATTATTTTAGTGTTTTTTTTCCTTAGAAAATTCCACGTTAGATCATGTTGTTTTGCTCTATCAGTAGAACAGATTTTCTTATTTGATTAAATTTTAACGTTCTATTTTATGAGTAGAGCACTTTTATGCCTATGGGCATTATTTTCAATGTGATTAGGCACAAATATTGCTTAAATTCAAACTAACTTTTTCAAGTAAATTACAAGAGAGGATAATTTATATCAAAATTATTAAGTTTATTTTCGACCAATCGCTAATAAAATTTTCAAAAACTAATAATCATGTTATTTAAAATAAAAAAAAAAGAAATATCTTGGTTGTTGAATGCAATTGATATTTTGGAATTTGGAATTGCATTGTTACGTTATATGGATTTACTCGTCTAAACTATAATTTGATTTATTTTCAAATATTGGCTCTCAATCACGTATTTATTTGGTTTGGTATATAAACAAGAATGCTTGGATTCTACGAAAGTATGATAAGAGTGTGACATTGACAGTTTAAAACAATATCAAGCTTACTAAAAATTTCTCATCCTTAATTTTATTTGGTAGATATCAAGACGGGGTATACTAATTTGAGAGGGCATGATTTGGTTCTTTCTTGGACTTTTATTTTATTTTTTTTTAGCTAGTTTCAACTATAAATTTCCCTTTGCTTTGACGATGGTCACTAAATCTCAAGAGTCGATGTTGTACTCGACTTTTTACGTTTGGTTTATAGATTCAGAATTATTTTTAATTTACGAGTATTTTTTATGAGAGAAAACACTGTAACGAGCCACAAACTATGATTCGAACCATGATACGAATCATTATACCAAACACTAAGTAAGTAAACAAGATCATAGATTTAACAAAAAAAAAGTTAACAGTTTTACATAGGCATTGTTTATGTTTTTTTTTTCCTTAGAAAATTCCACGTTTTAGATCATGGCTTAGTTTGGTAGTGCTGTGGATTTTAGAAAATTCATTTTTAGCTGTGCTGAAGGAAGAATTAGCTGTTACAAGAAGCAGTTGAGTGCTTGGTAAACTGTAATTATAGTAGCTGTGCTGGTTCCAAAATCAGTGTAATAGCGTTTGGTAAATTTTGAGGTTGAATTGCTGTGGATATATAAAATGACCAAAGTAGACATGGTATAAAATTTAAATATATATAATTATTTTTGGTATTTAGAAATACTTGTTTAACTTAAAAAAAAACATAATGCTATGATGTTGTTGGAAATTTGAAGAAGAAGAAGAAGAAGAAGAAGAAGAAGATGATGATGATGATGATGATGATGAAGACGAAGACGATGATAATGGTGGCGACGGGCGGGTTAGGACGCACACTGAAGGGGAGTTGGAGTTGTTGGGGTTAGGGTTGAGATTATTCCTGAATAAAGATAAACGGAGGGAGCTGAAAGAGCAAGGCTGAGGTTGAGAGAGTTCGGTTTCAGAGAGGAGAGATGGTGATGGAGCAGAAAGAAATGAGGGGGCTGAGAATTTTTTTGATTCAGCAAGAGTATTTTGGGGATAACGAAAATTTCATTAATGGCTCAGGTAGATTCCTGCACAATCTACAATCAGAAGCAGCAAGTGAGCTGCTTCTGATTTCAGCCCAAAATTACTTTTAGATTCTCTAAGAATCAGTTTTTAAAGTGTTTACAAACACATTAAACAACTTTAGCTTAACAAAAAATTGATTTTGGCCTCCCAAAATCTCTACCAAACTCAGCCCATGTTGTTTTGCTCTATCAGTATAACAAATTTTCTTATTTGATTAAATTTTAACGTTCTATTCTATGAGTAGAGCACTTTTATGCCTATGGGCATTATTTCCAATGTGATTAGGCACAAATATTGCTTAAATTCAAACTAACTTTTTCAAGTAAATTACAAGAGAGGATAATTTATATCAAAATTATTAAGTTTATTTTCGACCAATCGCTAATAAAATTTTCAAAAACTAATAATCATGTTCTTTTTAAAAAAAAAAATATTATAGAAATATCTCGGTTGTTGAATGCAATTGATATTTTGGAATTTAGAATTGCATTGTTACGTTATATGGATTTACTCGTCTAAACTATAATTTGAGTTATTTTCAAATATTGGCTCTCAATCACGTATTTATTTGGTTTGGTATATAAACAAGAATGCTTGGATTCTACGAAAGTGTGATAAGAGTGTGACATTGACAGTTTAAAACAATATCAAGCTTACTAAAAAATACTTTACTAAAAATTTCTCATCCTTAATTTTATTTGGTAGATATCAAGACGGGGCATACTAATTTGAGAGGGCATGATTTGGTTCTTTCTTGGACTTTTATTTATTTATTTTTATCTATCCTCAATTTATAAGAATTAGTTTAAGGAAAATTATGTGGTAGGATACCAAATATATATATATATATACTTATTAATTTTGTCAGATTTTTTTTTAAGGTTTGTTAAATTATAATTTTATTCTGATACGTTTCTAATGTAGTCAGAGTTTAGAACAATATCCTATTAATAGCGCAAAAATCTCATTAATTTGTATGCTAATCGAACTAACTGTCAAACCACTATCCTTAAACCATAAGCCATACGGACAAATATTTACTTAAACAAACTCAGACTTAGCCGAGTGAAAGATGTCGTGGACGTTTAGTTCATGGATTCAAAATCATGATTCAGAGTTATTCTCGATTTACGTGTGTTTTTTGTGAGAAAAAAATACTTTAACGAACTACGAATCATGATATGAATCTAGCAACTAAACAACCCACAAGTTTATCAAAATACGTAACAGTGATTGAGATCCTAATAGACTAATTGTACAAGCTTTTGGATTAAATAACTTTACATGAATAACTAAGAAAATGTTAATCATTAGGTTATCTAAGCAAGAACCACACAACCACTTACCTTAAAAGTAGGAAATAATTGATAGCATTTGTTACTTCGGGGGGTTTTTTGTTTTAGGTAAAAGCGAAACAAGTCAGGTCATTGTCTTCCGCTGAGCTACCTTAGGTAGGCTAGTAAAGTTTCACTATCTACACTACAACAACAGTTGGAGTCTTTTTTTTTTTTTCCCACATATTGTTATGCTTTTTAGAAATTGTATTATTTTAGAGTTTGAAAATTGAACATGGAGGCAAATAAAGAGAAAACTAAAAGGCCACGTTTTATACATTTCATGAAACCTTGTAGCACCGTTTCTTTCGTTGATTCGAGTCGAGTTGAAAAGTGAATTTATATGAGAGAAAATACTGTAATATAAAAAGTTAAATTTAAATTTTTATAAAAAAAAATATTGTAATAAAAATTTAAGTTGTGATTCGTATTAACGAACGAAACGAACATGGTATATTGTGTGAGCATTGGTATTCTCAACCCCAGAAACGAGCATTCCTAAACACAGGATTTAGGGCCGTGGGTGTAGCCCACATGGACGGCCTACATCCCTATGTTTGCCTTGTTGGGCTTCCCTGAAGCCGCCTACGATTTTTATACGGCGAATGAGGAAGACAAAGCATTTTGAGAGGTGAATAAAAATAACAAAATAGCAGAAAATATGCCAATATGAAAAGCTTAAGGAAGTATATAGGTCAACTTTTAGTTATAAAAATTAATAGGTCATAACTTGTCAAGTTATGGTTCATAACCAGATAAATTATGGACAAACTTGTCAAATTATGGTTCATAGCCAGACAAGTTATGGACAAAAATCATGATTTATGGATAATAACTTGTCAAGTTATGGTTCATAACCAGACAAGTTATGGACGAAAACAGTAATTTGACCTATTTATTAACTTATGTAAACTATTGACCTATTAATTTTAATTCATCTCAAGTCTTGGCTTATTTTTCTCTTTCTCTCTAAAAATAATACCATAAAGAAATATCATTTGCTTCATTTTTTGTTTGGTAGATTACTAAACATACCATTTACTTGCAATTAATTTAAAACCCTGTAATTTGTTACAATTATCTTTAGAAAGTTGCTATTTACCCCAATTTCCATTTTATATATCTAAATTATACGTATTTCTTACGACGTATAAACTTCATATTTATAAAATCTTAGGGGTTGTTTTTTTACAACGAAATTCAGAAAAAGTTTGAATTCGAGTTACAATTTTATTCAAGTTCATATTCTTTTATGAAATTTGAATTTGAACTCGAGTTTGAACTCGAGTTTGGGGCTAAACTCGAGTTCAAGTTTTCCTTTCAACTCGAGTTCATAAACTCAAACTCAAGTTAATGAACAATATTTTTTCTATTCTTAAAAATGCTATAACTTTTTCGTTTTAATTCTGATTAGGATGATTTTTTTTCTATGCATTCACAACGAAAAGACGAATAAAATCCCACCCATATACCCTATTCAAAATTTTCATTTCCATCGAGTTCTTATTAAAATACTATCTAAATATAAATTTAAGTTTTGACTCACCCAAACACAAACTCAAATAGATTCTCAATTCAAATCAAGTCAAATGTGCACATCCTAACACAAACTCAAGTTATAACTCAAACTCAACTCAAGATCATCACTCAAGTCACCTTAACTCAAAAATGTAAAAGAATAACCTCTTACGTTTCTGAGCAATGACAAGGTCTAAATCTTCCTTTTACAACAAGTTTAGTCAGCAACATTTTGAGATCAATGCCTCGAGGCCCGGCCTTGACAGAGTCAATATTTCCCCAACTTGGACATAACGGTTCATTAGGCTCTGAATTCTCTAAGCTTTTGTTCTTTGCTTGGATAGGACACCATTCTCCGGGCACCAAACCGTTAGGTCCGCGGCTAAGAACACGCTCGTCGATCGTTGCTAGTGCCGGATCATTCAACCGAAATGGTCTAGCGAAAGCCGCTCCACTTGCAAGCATCTTGTCCAAGTGTGACACGGTCAGGAGTTGAGGCTCCTCAATGGTCGAGTCCCAAATCATGTACCTTAGATCATCATTCACCGTGGTGTTTTCGAACTCGGGTGAGTTGCATAGGACCGTGTGGAAGTAGGATTCAAGAGGGTAAGCCACATTGCTAAGGTACATTAGCAATTTTCTCGGCAAGTTGTCCCATCCTCTTACACAAAATTCCATGAAATCTCTTGCCAGAATACCCCAAGGTGAACCTGCTTGGTCAAAATGCTTGCTAAGCTACATTAACAAAATCCAATGTTGTTCTATTTTTTTTTTTCCTAACATTTTAACATTGGCTGTGTTTGGAATTGATCCCGTTTTTATTTTTCACGTTTTTTAAGTAAAAAAAAATGAAAATGTTTTTAAAACGGCGTTTGATGCAATAAAGACAAAAAATGAAAATGAAAACGATTTTTTAGTTTAGTGTAAAATGAGAGATAAATGAAAAATGACTTTTAGTCGTTTTTCATTTTCTCCTCTCTCTCGAGCAAAGAGAGAGAAAGAGAGAAATTAATGAGTTTTTTTACACTGAAAATAATCTCTTGATAAAACTAGCAGTCACATTTTCAAAAATGATTTATGTCTGAGATTGAAAACGTTTTCATTTTCATTTTCATACAAAAAATAAAATCATTTTAAAACGAGTTCCGAACGCGTTCATTATGTCTTAGTTATTGAGAAAGAATACTGACCTCCAAATATGTCGAAAGCTTCAGGGTTTTCCCGCGTCTCTACAGCATACATGATCGGAGCGCTTTTCTGATGATACAAACTGGGATCGACTACAATCCGATTCGCAGTTTGGCGCCTGCAAAACGTCAAATTACTTACATAATCAGGAAATAATAAATGTTGACTGTATGAATGAAAATCGAAAACAATTTCGCAGTTAACTTCAGTCACATGGCTTGTCCTACAGATGATGCTTTGTAATTCACTAGCCTTAACATTTCTTAGAGAAGAACAAGAAGGGAATTTTCATGTACAGAAGGAAAAAAAAAAAAAAAGAAAAAAAAAGTGGCACAAGTGCAATAAATTCATCTAAACATAGAGTTGCTTACTCTTCCCAGCGAGTTCTGTTGTAGTGAATGAAATTGAGATTCCGTGGCAAGAAAGTGAAAGCATGTAGAAGATCTGCACAAAGATCCAATGCTTTTATAGTCAGAAAAGTTGCATTTGGACACCTCAAGGTGGTCTTCAAGGAAGTTTGTTGTGCATGTTTGGTTGAACACCCTGGTTTTTGTTCAAAAACAATGGGCCCGTTTGTTTGCGTTTTCGTTTTCGTTTTTCACGGTTTTCAAAGCAAAAAAATGAAAACGGGTGTTAAAAACGTGTTTGGTGCAATTTTTTTTAAAAAACAAAACCAAAAACGTTTTTGTCTTTTTGTGGAAATCAGAAAACGAAAAAAAGGTGTTTTCATTTTCTTGTTTTCGTTTTCTGTTTTCTGAAAAACGGATTTCACTTTTTTTTTTCTTTTTCATTTTCTTCCCTCTTTTCTGAAACCGTTTTTGTATTATATATGTTTATTTAATATATTTATTTAATATATTTAATAATATTATTTATATAATATATTTAATAATATTATTTATTTAATATATTATTATTTAAT